TTCAATCATAATGTATAATGTATAAAGATCGATTTTAATAACTGTCAAATTAAAATAATTAGTAATATCCCTATCAATAATAACTGCATAGAACGATGATAAAAGTGACAATTGTGTCATAGAATATGCCGTAACGATCAATTTCTGTATACAGTATAACATATTAATGACGTTGGAAAAAAGATTGTATAAATAGTTCTATTAAACTCCTTACAATTAATTCTTATCGAATTTAAATCGTAATTACATGCAATTTCATTTAAAAATATGCATATAAATGAAACATTAACATGGCGTGTCAAAATCTATTCAGATGTATCAAGAGATCAATAAAATTTCAATTCAGATATATGGTTTAATTGTATACACAATTAGAGGGAATATAAAACGATAAATAAACACTTACCTATCAAGTGTGACAGTCCAAGCACCGGTGAATGTTGCAGTCAGGGAAGAATCGGAGTTCACTTTACCACAACGCACAAACACTGTTTTCTTGCACTCATTATACGCGAGAGATGTTCTACGACCGAAATTCGGACTGGAAATACGGTGACACGAGGCACGTAAACACGATTTCGCACCGGTAAGATTGTAAACGTTCGGAGCGTCTTTCACAACACGAAGTCGCGTGCGCCATGGCGGTCAAACAGCTGTTCACTGGAGGGAGGGTCTACGTACGATTATAAACGAGTTGTGTGTACGTTTGCCATCTGTTGACTAACCGGAGAAACGCTTCTTTTATGGCGGTGATTACAGATGCCGAGGACTGAACATGCGTTTGTTTTCCAGGAAATCGCACCTGCTTTACCAATCCCTCTTTTACCGTGCATGTGCAATTAATAATTGCATCATCTTTTTAGAGCGAAGCTCTCTTTGGCGCGTTCGGTAGTAACATCGACTTGAGGGAACTCCTCTATTTCTTTCACATTCACATGTTTTCAAAATAATTATGAGTATTGTAGTGGATCTTCAGCGAAATTTTGCGTCGATCGTGCGTACGAGAACGTTCGCGACAAATTTATCTACAATCTACAGTAATAAAAATCATTTCTCTAATATTTTCATTTTCAATATTGTACCATGAAATTATTAAAAACAATTCTAATTAAACTGTTAATTTACGCATTATGACTTGAGCTTCGCTCTTGTCCGACCGTCCTGCGACGGCTACGTTTTCTTTTTAAACCTATCAAACATACATATACTTCTAATTTCCCTTCAGAGTTTATTTAATTTACAAGACCAAAAAATTATTAGAATAATTATTTGACAAACTTATATTTTGAAAAGACCGCCTTTCTTTTATTAATACGCGCTTAGGACTTTTAAAGTCCGACCACTCGCCATCTATACAAAAGTGGCGGAAACTACTCAACAAATAACCGACTTATCTACTGAACTTTTGATAGTCAGTAATCAACCCTTCGGGAGTCGGTAAGTTAACGAATAGTTTGCGCCGCTTTTATACAGATGCCGCAATAGCCGATGGCTTGGGGTGTTAGGAACCCCGAAGCACGGATGATGCTTTTGCATATCGACATTATGGCATCCGGGGTGTCAGGGACCCCGGTGACTCATCTCATCTCACTAATTTCGCCCCTAAGGGCCGGCGCTTTTGGGGACTTATCTGTCCCCATATTTTCCAATGAACCCTATCGGCCACGCGCCTTCGGGGATGTGCTAGCAGCCCCGCCAACACCAAACCCCGCGCATTTTTAAATTTCGTCACTCATACTTGTCCATACTTTTAAATCTTACTCATCGTCAGTCCATACCTTTAGAGTCTGCTCATCTTTTGTCCGAATCGGTGTGTATGTGTGTGTACGTGTGTGTGTGCGTGCATGTGGACGTGTATGTGTCTGTGTGAACCCTTTTAGTCGCCTCTTACGACATGCAGGGGATACTGTGGCCGTATTCTAAGCCCCCCGAGCCACAGGGGGCCCCGGTGACTCTCTGTGCACCGACCTAATACTATCTTGGGGTGTTAGGGACCCCGCACGGGTGATTCTGCATACCAACATTATGGCATCCGGGGTGTCAGGGACCCCGTAGCTTAAATGTGCGACCCATAGACTTTATATGGAAAAATTGAAACCTCTGTAACTTTTAACTCCGACCTCTTAGCCGCACAAATGCATCGGTTTTAAGCTAGTCTCAATAAGACTTTTATATATATAGGATCATTAGTTCTCGAGATATGTTTGAAAAATCGATCGATAACGTGTTGAGTAGTTTGAGCCATTTTTGTATAGATGGCGGCTGCCGCCGAAGACGAGAACACCACCTCCTCTCTGTTCGACGTCAGAAGACAGACTAACGTACTCTAGCGCGAAGCAGCTAATATGTACCGATAGGTTTCATATCTGCCAGCTTAACTTATCCAAATTTTCAAATATTTTACAATACAGTCGCAGTATTGAACTACAGATCTGACAAGACTGTATGTATACGGCTTTGTTTTTGAGGAATTCTAAATTTGTGTCTAGAGAACAAACGTCATTTGGTCTATCATAGTATAAAAATGTAAAACACTTAGCAGTTGCAACAGTTCTGATTTTTAGCACACCTTTAACAATGAAAATCAATTTAAAACCTTAATTTAAATGATTTGATCTAAAAAATTTGCACACTAGTTACGTTTGTAGAATAAAAAACTTTCACAACTCACACATGTGAGTTATTTGATAAACGTAACACAGACTTGTGCCAAAAAAACACTGTAGCCTATTTTATGAAAAAATAAAAGCAATTTTTGATATCATTAGCTTTGTCGCGTATGGTATTAGGATCCTGCTTTCAAAATGCGCGTCATAAGAACTTAAAATTGAAAAATAAGGCGCGCACAATTCTTCAGCTTATTAATTACTTTGCAGTAATATTATGTTCTCTTTTTATCACTGTGCAAATTCAACAGTTGCAATATCTTCTAAAGAAAAGATTCGGGTATTAAAGAGCAGTATTTTACATTAACTTAATTTATCGCTGGATAAGCATAAAGTTTATCGAGACGTTTAGTTCCAACGAACGAAGAAAGCGCGTGAGCTTCACCGAAATACTTTTTAGAGTAACATCTTTCTGTTTCAAGAACAACTATGCTTCCCTGATTGTTCTAAGCGTGACAACAAAAGTAAGTTGCTTAACAACGAAGGCCAATACGCCTGTCAAATGTATCCTTGCATATCATCACGTGCAATCAATGTAATTTATTATGCGTGGAACAATGTTCTAAGCGCGTATCGGAGGGCACGTATTAAGATTTGCGAAGGTGCAGACCTTTACTGTTTTAAGCAACCTTACATTTCTGTCAAACGATCATTCTAATTCTTATTGTTTGAATATCATTTTAGTGCTCCTACCTGACACTTTGATGGTCAATGCCATGTATTCGTGACTTTGATATTTGCAACCATCAAACGATAGTAAAGTTACGAATATATTTAATAATTCAAAACAGAAGTAGAAAGATTTATGATATATACTGTACGCGTATAACACTTTAATGCAGCACTTGCTGATACAAAGAATTGCGCGATGATTTCCATTGCTCCAGTAAATGAAAAAACAAAGCTACGAGGATCAAATTGAAAGATTCATCTGCCATCGTACCTGACGCGTGTATTCAGATGTCTTCTCTCTGATTTGTATTTTATGCATCACGATGCACTGTGCTGCATTCCATTCTGTAGCTTGTGCGATATTGTTACACATTACAATTAGATTTACTGCGCGTTAAACTCGATCGTTCGCTACTTCATTAACTTGTTCCATTATTGTTTTCTCTCAGCTATCCTTTGATAATGAAACGCTCGAATAAATTTAATAGAATCTTTCCTCTTCGGTGACTACGAACTGTCAGTTGACAGATGGAAGGTTAATAAAAAGATCTAGGATACGATTTCAAACTATCTCCTTTGATTGATTGTAACCATTGTGTATTTGAAATAAAACAATTCACAGTAGATTCCACTCTTTTGTAAATATGTTCCTTTATGAATTTAATGACTTAAAATTGACTTAATGAATTAATTAATTTAAAGTTCAATTGGAACTGATAATTTAATAATATTCTCAAATGATTAATAAAAAGAAGTTAAAATATGAAATCTACAGTTTGCAATTTTGTCGGGCCATAATTTCATACGGCACTACAGTTATACAGTCTCATTCATTGCGTTGTATTTACTCACGCCTGGATTTCGTGTGCGTACGAACACATTGGCACACACACACTCGTGTTCTACATGGATATCCGACCTTCTGTGAGCAACAGGCGTCACGAATAGAGTCTATAAAGATTATAGGATGAAATGTGCGAGTAGTGTCCCTACTTCGGCACGACTGGCCAGTTTCTGCGACAGTAACGCAATCATCTGTCCCAAGTGCCCAGGACACCTTCAATTTTATCAAAAATAAAACACACGCCCTAATAAACATTTACAAGAAGTAAATTTAGCAATAAAATTTATATCCAAAGATTATGATGTTTCGATATGAATTCCAAGAAATTCCAGAAAAGGATCGTTGGAAATGTTGAGAATTATTTATGAGACGAATAGTAACCTGTAAGGTATTAACAGAAAGAATCAAAATTAGATTACCTAGTAATCATGTCCCTAGTTTATTTTATTGATCGAACTACCTGTACGTATTGCGTCTATGTTTGAAATAAGGAGCAAGGTTTCAACAAAATCATACCTAAGGTACACAAATATAAACACCAATGATTCGTAATAATTTCTATAATCAATTCATTAACGTTAGCAAATTGCAAGCAGTCGTATGCAACTGTGCTCCAAACCATACTCACTAAAATCCAAAGTGACAAGAATTAAAATGAATGTTTAAATATTATCCTTTATTTTTCCAAGTATTATATCTTAATAAATTCTTCGGAAAATAAAAAATTCACTTTGTTGTCTCGGAGCCCCGTAAACAGAACCCTCGAACCGTCCATCCCTGGCGTACAGTCGGTTCTCTTATAAAGGGAACCCACGCTAGACAGAGCCGCATACCACGCCAGCGCGTCGTACGAAGTGCAGGTGACAGTTAAACACGTAATTGCAATCAATTAGCACGCGTGCACGTATCTAAATAAAATTTCTCACCGTTTCCAAGCGGTTACGTTATCGTTGGACCGCTTCAGCATGTGCAACAAGTTCGAGATCGAGATAGAACCGCGTGGCGTGCTTAGTATATAGTGAAAGAAAGACCTGTATCCCAGCTACCTGTTTACATTTTACCTGTGGCCATGGAGACGGTTGTCTGACGCTTCGTCGAAGAAATTTATTATATTCGTTCGTCTAGACGTGTTTCGTTAAAAACGATCAACACAATACCGATCAGTTCGGTTTTCTTCGAAGCTACGCCGCAACAGGCCACGATCATCGTGATTATGGTAGGTGCGCTGTTTCCAAGGGGCCTTTCCTTCGCTTCAGATCGAGCCAAGATCGCCGGGCAGGTGACAACGCCTGTTGACCGGTACGATTTTCCTAGTTGGAGAAAGTTCGATCGACCGAGACTTCCTCGAATGTGTAAAAAGAAGAGTACAATTGCCAAGGAAACTGACGATCACCTGTTGAGAGACGATAGATCGTTCGTGCTCGAAACCTCACGATCGCCGGTCTCTTGGAAGTTTACCGTTACTCATCGACGTCGATCGTGGCTCGGTTTCCATTCGCGTTATCGCGAAACAGCACGTTGCACAAAACAGTGTATTGCATTGAAACGTTCCTCCGTAGCGTTTATCGAGTCACGACCCTTTTTAACCGCGATCAATTAACCTGCGATTGCCCCTCCCTCTCGCATTCTTTTCATTTAGAAATAATCGGGGTTACAATCACTGGCAGAATATTGTGATCAATGATATTTTCTGTGAAAATGATTGCAACCCTCTGGAGGGTCGCAACCCTAGATAGGTTGAAAATCCGACCATCGACGTTCCTTTTATAGGAATAAACATACGTGGCTCGTATTTATCGATTAAAACGCGACCGAGATAACCGATAAACATTTTGGGGAAGCTTTTTAGATGGTCTGTTTATCAGATAGGCGCACAGTTCAGTCGAAATTCATTTTACTAAAATTCACAGTCGAGGGCGAATTGCAACGGCTGAATTATTAATAGTTTGCCTAGCCTTCGCAAAATATTTAGACGGTGGTCTTTTGCTCTGTTTACAGTGAAGCTTCGTCGAATGGTCAGACGAGATCGATAAACCGATTCGGTATTCACCAGATGAGGATAATTTTGGGATCATGGCGTTGGCGAAGATCAAAAGTTTCATCGACACCGGCCTGAAGACGGTGTCCACGCCGTTGGATCGGACGGTGAATCTGGAACCGGAAGTGGGCATTAGGATCGTTCATTCGATAAACGAGAAGGCGTTACACGTGACGGTGCTCGGTGCTCGACACTTGCCGCAAAATTTCGGCTTCACCCGTGTCAATAGCTACGTTGTCAAGGTAGAAGAACGTTAAAGTTATAATCTTTAACAGCGTTATCTCGGGTTACGTAACCAGAATAATCGAGCGAAGGTTCTGCGCCCACTCGAGCCCACTTTATTCGCTCACGAATCTTCGGAGACAATGCTCGGCTGGTTGTGTGGGAACGGTATCTTCGTACAATACAACCATGAAACGTATTAATTGCGGTGGTTAAAAAGAGGTTGAGATTATTCGATGACTGCACTATTGTTGATTTCGCTTTTGTCGATTCGTATTGAAGGGGAATACCGAGTTCGATGTATTATTTACTTATCCAAAGATTTCAATCCTATACGAACAATAGATAGTGCCCCAAAAGATTTCAAGAAGAATCAGTCTTATCTGTATTGATTGATTAATTGGAACACATAAATCATACTATATTTTTGCGATAGCAAGTTAAACACATAAACATTTTGATTTCGATACGTAACTTATACAGAAAGTTATTTTCAATTCGAAATAAATACTCGATCTTAGCGTTGCAGGATGCAAAGACCCAAAGAGGAAGTACATAACGTCAGATAATGAAAAACAGGAAGTCTCGTAACCGGTTTGAAGTGTCTTTAAGTTAACATCTTCAAACGATATTTTTCTCAACACTACTTTCATGATGAATGATTATTTTAATTAAACATAGAATGTAGAAAACCGTGACTGTTACTTAGTAAATGCTAGACAAGAAGATGTTTAATGTCGGCAGCAATTAAGCGGAAACATTCTCGTTTAAATTGCTCTTGGTTACCAGTCACTTTACAATGGAAGCATTAGCTTACGAAAGAACTCGAACAGAAAAGAAAGTAACCCGCTTATGTTGCAGGTGAAGCTGATACCAGGAAAGGAGAAGTTCGAGACTACGTCGAGGAACGAGTCTTGGCCGCAATGGAACGAGGAATTCACGTTCCTTCTGCGGAAAGAGAGCAAGCAGAAATTTGGGAAAACGAAGGTGATCGAGGAGGAGATCAACGGATCGAGATTCATCGTGGCGACTCTGTACGCGATTCTCGAGGACAAACCGTTGATAGCGACCGATAAAAAGGAATCGGAGAAGGACAAGACCTCGTCTCCAGTCAAGGAAACTGGGAAAAAGTCTGGGAAGAAGAAAGACGGCCAAGCAGCCACCTCGGAGAATCAAGAACCGACGAAGAACAAATTGTTCAGCCAATTCTTCGGCAAATCGTCGGAGAAAAACACGGAAACCACCCCGGTGGAGAGAAGAATGTACGACAAGAGGCGCACGGTGGGTGCAACGACCATTTCTCTGGATCCGAAAAATTTCACTACGAAACCACCCAAAGCTAAACACCCGGGTGACGTGTCCACGGGAGATATGTGGAGACCACTCCGACCTATCACAAGTGGCATTTCCGGAGCTGAAGAGAGGGTAAATGTCAGCAATGAAACGCTCTCTTATCATTTACAATCCCGACGAATTTAGTGGACAACCCTTTGCTAAAAATAGCTCGGTATTATTTCGTGAAAAGTCCAACTCTTTCTATTATTCTTTTCATTACTTGTCGATGCATTTGGAATAATTAATAGGCACTTATTATGCTTCGATGCGTTTCGTAGATCTAGATCACGATTACTGTACCCAAGGGTTAACGACGGGTGACCGTAGTCACGCTTAGTACCCAAAGGATTAATAAGCGTTTCGAGGGAATCATATCTAATCGCTTCTTAATGGATTACAGAGGGAGAACAAAAAGGGTCAAGTCGAATTGTCACTGTGCCAGGAGAAGAGCGACAAACGAGAGGAAGGCAGCGAACGGCTGGTACTATCTCTGCATCGTCTGAGATGTTCGTTGCAGACGATGCACGAGCACGAGGCCCTCCGAGGTCAGATGTACATAAAGATATCGGTGGTGGACAATGGAAGGGTGACTCATTTTTGGAAAAGCGATCGTTTCGCGCCTTGCGTGACCATGAAATTTGCACCGGATATGGCCAGAGTGGTGGCGGACAATCCTTACCAAGGAGCTCTAAACGACGTCAGCTTCGTTGTTAAATTTGTCTCGAAAAACAAAATGGGTATGCTATAAAATTTAGGATTTTATTTCATTTATAACGTACGAGGAAATATACTTTGATAATTTCAGGGAAGAAAACCACTGTTGGTCACTTCGTGATCGGACCAGACGTAGGAGGACCTTACGGAGAACAGTGGAAACAGGCTCTAGCTAAGCCAGGGCAACAGATAATGAAATGGCAGGCATTTGAATGAGAAAAGAATTCGAATTTTCCATCGCGTGTAAACCTACTTTCGCGGTTCTTGCGAATCTTATGAATATCTTAGAGCACGATCGATGATGGGTGCTATTCCAAAGAACGCTTGGACGACAAAGTCAGTATATTTCTCGCAGAATTTATTCTCTTTTTTGCTCAGACTTTCTTTCCTCTTGTTGACAAACCTGTACAAAAGTATTTTACGCGTTTCTTTTTTGTACATATTAATCATTCATACAATTGAACCGTCCTCGATTCCGAGTCAGACGAAAAGCCGAATTTCTGTCAGGAATCGTACTAACGGAACCGTCCAATAAAATAAGTGCCTGTCGATATACAGTACTTGGAGTTTATGAAATTTTTCGTTGCCAACGAGTCCAGTCATTTTTTTGCAATCGTTTTCTCGAAATGAAGAGACTAAGTTTTTGTGCCAGAAAAAATCCTGACGAAATGACTTTTTAGCGTTAAAGTAAATAAGCCGCGATGTACGTTTGACTTTATATTATTTTAAGCGAAGATTAAATCGTTCAGATAAGATATAAAAGCAGCGAGAAAGTATTTTCTGTGTACGTAGGATCAAATAGCACGTTTTATTATATTTATCAATGTTTATTTGCACTGGTAACGATAAACTTATTGCTCATCGTTTCGTCTGTAATTTTATCGAGTATTTTTTTTAAATAATTGTACTAATGTGTCGTATGATAAATAATTAGAACTGCGTAAAAGAAGATAGTATTTGTAAAACATTACACGTGTACACGTCTGTTTTTATACAAACACCGATTATAATTCAACGAATGTTTTTAAGACTTAAACCGTTACACCAAAAAAAAAAAGGAAACACTGTATTCAAAATGTTATTAACGCACATATTTGCATAACAGAGTTATATTTTATATGTAATTCATTTGTTGTTATATATAAAGGATAAGTTAAACTATTTTACACGCTGTAACATTTCTAATACATCTTTATTTATTACTATTATGGTATACCTTACAAAATACATAAAAGAGTAATGCATTTCTGTAAGTAATGGTATTTTTTATTTCCCTCCTGTTTAATAACTAACTACACTTCTAGAAAGTATACATATAAAAATATAAAAAGCGACGTCACCTCACGTTAACGCTAAATTCACGATTTTAAAATGGACGGTATTAACAGTCTTATTCATCTTATTCATGAAGTGATATCAACATCAGTTCGATGCATGGACGGTTAGCAATTATATTTTGTACTAAGCAAATCTAATCTGAGAAATATGATTAAGCATCTTCTTTCATGTTAAAAACAAATTACATTCTATCAATAAAAATATATGCAATGGTCTGAAGTTAAATATTCATAAAAGAGATGTAATAAAATGTACTTTTATAGTATTGTACAGGTGGTAAAAAAAGCCTTAGAAATATTTTGTCATTTATCATTCCTCTAAAAAGGCACAAATAGGCACTTTTATGTATACTTAGTAAAAAAGATTATTCAATGATATATGAATCTTTATAAACAACATTCCCTAATTTCAATCGAAGCATTCTATTTCCCTGAAGTTCAGATCATAAGATTGTCAATTAATAAGTACGAAGAGATTTCTGTATTGTAAGAAGGTATGATCAAATATCCTATTGTTTACTCAGATCTATCAATCCGCATAATCCAATCTATCTTTGGTTAAGTTTGTTAAGTAGAACAAAGTACGTATCTCAATGAAATTACTAAAGCTAATACAGAGGCAAATATACTTCCATGATTATAAGATGCTGTGTTGCAGCCATCTTTGCTATTGCATGTGCAATATTCCATAAATATGTTGTACGTTCCTGTTCTCATCAGACAAAATCTCTCATCACCTCCAATCCCAGGTTCTCCCATGTAAGCACAACTACGAAAATATCTCCATACACCATTGACTAAGAGGAACAACAAAAACCAAATTACTGCTAAATGATACACAAAAATAAACCCAATTTTGAATATACTAACACACCTTTCTGGCGGATTTTACGACACATAGTAGGTCTTACACCAGGTAAGTGCTCCAAATCGGGTTCTTGTTTACAATCAGTGATGGGTACAGTGGTATTATCAAAGGGGTCTGCACATTTTGGATCTGAGTCAGATCTACAGACCCAACACTTGATAGACAATCCTGTAACAATATAAAAAAAAAAACTGGTTACTAACTGGCGTAAAATCACAAAGTTTGTGAGAATTATTTGAAGGTTAAGAACGTAAGAGCAAGTTTATTTTGGAGCAACGATAGTTACCTTGTTGAATACAACAGAGAACGAATAATACTGGCAATAAAGTACGAAAACTAATTCCATAAGCCATTCTACCAGGAATAGGAGATCACTTTATACAAACTACAAAATACACGTTAACTTGAACGTCTAATTACTCTAACTGCCCACGCCTACGACTGACCACGCCACTGAACCAGCATTCTGTCAGGGCTCAGAGAGTAGATATTTTCTCGTAGTAAGCAAAACTGAATAAATTATTAATTAGTTAATGATCAGATTTTATCCTAAGAAGATTTCTACACTATATGGTAAATTATTGCGTTGTATATACATAATAAAAAATAGAATAAACGGAAATATAGGAGTAGGTACCGCAGTTTATACGCTACTGAGAGCTTCGTTCATGTTCGGACACCTTCGGGTCACGTGAGTAGATCTCGAATCAAGACCGCGCCCGACATGTGAGCCATTTGAGGATTGTAATTCAAGTCATGAAAGAATGTCTGGTGTAACAAGGAATTCTAGTTAATTGAATCATGTATAATGCACTATTTATCTGAATGATAAAACGAGCACGTGACACTTGTTCCGTTACGATAACTTTGCAATGCTGCAAATTAAAATTAACTTCGAGTATATACGCGTCAGATATACGTAACAGTAAACCTATAATTAATTTGTCCTATCATCAATTTTCACTTTTTATTCATTTCATACTGATTATTTATGACTAGATCAATTTGCAAACAATCTTAAACTTTTAAATACTCAAACTCTCCAACTGTAAAGTATTCAATGCAGTATATTCTTAGATTCTCTATATTTTAAACATCAATTCCACATAGACGAATATATGTCCACTCTTCATAGACAAACCAGGCTGTCTAAATTTAGTACTATTTTAGACTTTCAAAAAATCGGAAAAAATTCTGGGACAAAGTCGTTATCTTATCAAAATTTTCTGAACCCTTATGCTAAGTATTTTATTACCTAAATAAGAATCAAGTTTCGGAATGGAACAAAAGCTCTACCCGTTCATTTTACTAACTTCAGCGTGTACCTTCCCTGTCTTACGGATTGCAACAGAAGCGATTCACTTTTGCGGGTGGTCCTCGGTCGGAACGAAGCGCGGTCTGGTCCCGAGGAAACATTTGAATGCTATAAATAAATATAAATAAATTGATTTGCCGGCATTAGCATAAGTAGCCGGCGGAGGCTCGAGTAAACCCGTCTGCGGCTCGCGTCTCTTTACCGTCTACACGTACTCCCTTCTTCGTCTCTCTTACCAGTGCGGACGTTGATTTATATCGACGTCCCATAGCTTCCAACCGCATTCACCGTCCCTTTAACTTAAAAGGACACAGGACTACGATCCCGAGACGCGAGTCCGTCTCGTCTCGCGGTTGCTCGCGTGGGAATTAATTCCGAAACCATGAGACTCTCTCCCCCATGAATGGTAGTGTTTGAACAGGAACGATAAGAACTAACAATAAGATCAGCAACGTACGGACTGATGCGCATAGTATCATTTCGAGCACGTCGGTATTCGCGTATTAATGTTTCATTACGAGTGTTTGATGTTCCTGGAAACGAAAGTTCGGGGATCGCTGAAGAATGTTCACGGATCGTGTTCTGTATCAAGGCCGTCTCCACGAGAAGGGAACACGGTCCCCGTTTCTCCTATAAAATCAGTGGCCTTAAGTGCCGCAATCCATGGACGGTTATCTTCCCCAAAATCGGGTAATTTCGTGTAATCTACGCGGAGGTTTGGGCGTGGCCGGACCGCAGAGATACTTCGGCAGGGAACAGCGTGTGTGTCATTATTCGAATCTTCCAAATGACCCTGTTCTATCTTCTCCTTTACCGTCCCGTTGCCGGAAGAAAGGACCTCTGAATTACGTGGTCCCATTAAGAGGCAGCTTGTTGCGTAAAATTGACGTATCGAACTGACGCACATTGTTCCAGAATCTCCGTCAAATTCTTTTCTACAGTATTCCAAATATTCGGCTAATTTGCTTGGAATACATTCAATCGAACAAATAGCGTGTTTCAATTAAAGAGAGATTGTCCAACGTACGATCGTCTCGTCACTGAATCATCTCGGTTATTTCTAGGCACAACGTCACGTTACTTCCACATTTGTCTCGTACCTCTTATTACCATTTCATAAGAGGTGCGTCGCGAGTGACCCATATCCTAGAACCAACGCCGTAACGACGTGGCCTTTCTCGAGGAGATCATTCTCTCGTCGTGGACACTCCTAAAACGTTGGCGAGATCTACGACGATTGTTCAGCGACAAGGGGAAAAAAAGTCGATCCTCCGTGGCGCTTTCATCATCGTCCGGCGTTCAAAGTAAACAGACGGGCACGCGTTGTCCTTATTAGAGATAAACGTCCACCCTGACGAATGTCCATTTTCGGACGAGAGTCGGATCCAACCGGGTCCTCCTTCGTCCACCGGAGGATCCGTGCCGAGTACCCTCGTATCAGAGTGCACCCCACCACAGCGACTGCCGCAGAATCACCCTCCACTTCCGCTTCGCTTGCTAGCCACTCCTCTCAGCCTCTGTTGATACTTCCTCGCGCGTGTATCTCGTCAGTCGGCCTGGAGCCACGTGCGTGTGCTCGAGAAGCTCCAGCACGAGTGCACCTCTTTCCATCGAACTGATTGCTCGTATTTAATTATTAACGAATACGAAGAAATCGAGACGCGTTCTTCCTCGAGAACGGAGAAATTCAACTGGAGGAAGCTTTAGTGGCTGTGATAGAGTCGAGAGAGGAATATTTTAGAACAGCGAATTTGCATGTAATTCAAGGCAGCGTCTTTAAAGTGAACTTTCCGCGACGAAACGTGACTGGAAAGCGTAAAGTGTCCATGGCAATATGCACCGATTCGTACACGCTGTTGGCTGGCAATCAGAGAACGAACCGCGCCGTCTCGACGGTACGTCTCGTATCTAAAACGACCAGGGAACCGAAACTCGAAGACAGATGGGCAGGAGCAGGGAGGACTAAAAATATCGGTCCCTGGCACGTTGCTAGCTAGCTGTACTTCAACTTGAACAATTTTACCGGCCTGGAGAACGGAGAGTTCCATGGCCGAGAGACGCTTCTAATCCGGTAGAGAGCTCCCACTCGAAGGGACAGTCCACGTCTTCGTTTCTTTTCGAGAAGAACCACTCAGGGGTACTTTTTTCAAGACTATCCATAGCACGAGAGGACAGTGAACGTTTTGTAAAGGACTAATTTGTGAAGTTGTGGAGTTTACTCTTCTGGAACGTTGGAGGGCGAGCAAGATGCGTGGGGTAAGTTTCCGCTTCAGATTTTAAAATGAAACCTAAGGTCTCTGAAAATCTGGTTCAATTTCAACGTTCTCGTTAGCGGAGCGCATCGATTCTCTCGATGAAACAAGAGAGACACGCTAATCCCTGAATAGTATCCACTTTCGCGGCGTTATGTAAAGAATCGTAACGCATACACCGCTGGTTACTTTTGCGTGGTGGCTCGTAATATCCTGGTATCTTTTTGCCAGAGAACGTGACTCGCCACCTGTATCCCACACGTACGATCCTTCCCGCGAGATCCTCCTACTGTAATCCTACACACCCGACTACTTCCGCTCCATCTATCAATTCAATGACTCGTCGATTGTTTCTATCCGTTAAAGTTCGCCAATGAACTCGCCTGCGCTCGATTGTGTATCTAAGTCGACAAGCCATTGATAAATGAAACTGAAGAGCTGCACTTGATAATTGCTATCACATTTGTACACGTAGCTTCTGATATGATTAATATTATCGAGTGAAGAATTGAAAAAAAATATATAGTAACATGATCTATTGAGAAAAATATTTTGTCTGTCAAGTATTTATACCTAGATCGTTAACGATCCTCAGTAATTAACGAGCTAACAATTCATTGGCACAATTAGCCGACTAGTATCTGATTGCTCGTGATATAACATCAGCAATTACCGAAGAAGCAAGACGAGAAGCTACTTCCTTCGTTTTTAATCACCCATGACCATCGAACCCGGCAGCAATTCCGCGATCCCTACAATTTATTCTCCGATCCTCGCTAAAATTCATTCGATCGAGCTCGATCTAGAAGCCCGTGGCCGCAGCTATCGATGGACGTATGAAACTCTCTCTTGCAATTTTTCGAGCAATTCAAGTCTACCTACTCGGCACATTTACATCTCGAAGCGTTTCATAACCCATCACTAGCTGCGAGCAGCATCTCGACAACCGTCTAACGAGCGGTGCAACGAGCACCATGAAAGTAGGCAGCTAGAGTTAATAAGCCGAACAGCATAATAACACCCTCGTTCCCGATCGATGCTTTCAGAGGCGCACGGACGAAATCAGGAAAGCTTCGCGAGGACTCGAGCGGTTTTGAAGCGTCGTTCCTTCTTTCCACGACGGGGCCCTCCTCCTCAGGGGAAGAGGCTTTAGCCCCTACTCGAGGCCGACTTCTTCCACTCATGGTGTTTTACGGCTCGGTTGTTTGAAATTCTTCTGGCGGAGTCGCGCTCGTATTTATAGACCCGCGCGGGCTCGCGAGTTCACGCACGTAGAATCACACGCACGCCTTCTGCGGAGGAGATCGGAGGAAGCGGTTAACTAGAGGGATAGAGAGGGGAAGGTGGGTGTGCTAAGGGTGAAAAGAGGAAAGGAGAGAATAGAACGCGTTGAGTCGACAGAGGGACGAGGAGGCGGCACGTCGCGATCATGAAGCGATGCATCCGCGACAGGAGCACCGGCCCGCTTCGTCGTCGAGCACGTCCTCGACGTCGTCGAACTGTCTGCGCTGGCTGCCCCCACTGGCAGGCGACCATCTACCGGCTATGATCGGACGACTGACGGGGGCGAACGCGGCCCTATGGATCATCGTTTTGCTTCTGACCCTCGGCACCGCTCTCAGCCACGACGATCGCTCGGTAAGTAATTTATTCATTGATCGCGCTATTATTTTTATCGAACTCCTATAAATTTCATCAAACGCTAAATTGATACGCGATAAATGTAATTTAGTGATACTTTTATGCTATCAAATCGTGTCAGACTTTCTATACGTTTCGAAATTCGCTAATTAATATGTAACAACTTAATGTATTCGCAGCAAGATAATCAATAGAGTAAGTCGAAAGAAGTTTAAATGGTAATTAGAATTGCATGAATTATAATATTGAAATTAAAAATCGATTACATGAAATACGTGATTATTAAAGTGTTAATTACAAGAAACGTTACTTTTCACCTGAACAGAAACCGGAGAAGTACCGATTTGACAAGAAAAAATGATATTTATCCATAGTATTTAGGGCAAAGGTACTTTCTAAAATGCTTGCGCGTTTTTCGAGA